ATTTAATTTATAATTATTAAATTATTAGTAATTTAAACTATAATACACCTTAGTCTCTTTAAAAAAATTAATAAAAATTTAATATTTAATAATAATTAAATATATAATTAGCTCTCTCTCTCTCTCTCTCTCTCTCTTCATCTGGAGATCGGGGGATCGGGGGATCGGGGGATAAAAGTCAATCCCTGACTTTTTCGCCCCGACGTGCACCGATATTGGGAGAGAGAGCTAATTATATATGTAATTATTATAAAATATTAAATTATTATTAATTTTTTTAAATGTTTCTAATGTAGTTTAAAGTAAAATCAATTAATAGTTTACTAATTATAATTGTAATCACATTTTAATAGCTCTCTCTCCCATTTAGGACGACAAAGAGTTTATTTTTTTGTTGATTAATTAATTTATTTTTATATACTAAGTTAATGATTTTATAGGAGTTAGGTTGCCTTGCTCATATTCTTTAAGCATGCCAATGGTGATTTGTTTCAACTGTACCAAGGTGAAATTTGTGCTCAATTCTCGACTAAATTCTTGTTGCAATTCTACGGCAAACATGGACTCCAACCCTATATCAGCCAATGTTGTGTCAATGGGGGTGGACTGGGGGTCAATGCCCAGGGTGCGCCACACTTTGGCCACAATACGTTGTCGTTTTGATCCTGATGATATTGTTTGGTTGATAATATCCTATTGATTAAAATTTAGTAAAATATTATTAAGGATTTGATGATAATATATACCGCGAAAGCAAATGACGTGACAATCGGTGTATTAATTGCCAACAATTTGTCCAAAACATCGCAACACGAGTGGATCCGTTGTATAGCCAGTGATGAAAGGGCTATGTTTTCGGCCATACCCTCAAACACGCCCACATCACCGATGGGTCCGTACTGTACGGCCAGACCATGGAGTCTATCATTACGTCTTTGTTCACAAATGCGTTCACACATAGAGTTCCCGAACGCGTAGTTAGTCTGACCTCCATTTCCCATACCGCAAGAGATTGAAGAAAATACGACAAAATAATCCAAATTATAGTCCAATTTTCGGGTCAATTGATCCAAATTTGCGAAAATCTTATGTTTGGTATCAATAGACGAACAAAACTTATCAAACGTTTGATTCTTAAATAATCTGTCATTCAGTTCGACCGCCAAATGAAATACCCCTCCAATGGGTCCCAAATTTTGGGCCTCTTTTAGGAGTTGTTGTGTGCCTTCAATAGTCATACAATCGGCGGTCGAGACCAACCATTCGGACGAATAGTATTTCAAGTTATCTCCGAATTCGTGAAAACGATTGAAAAGAAATTTCTGATAATCAGTCTTAAGACCAGATCTGGAAGTTGTCACCAATTTTCTGGCGCCCAGGGATTGCATCCAATGAATCAATTCGAGTCCAAAACCGCCCAAACCTCCCGTTATTATATAGACTTTGTTTGGATTGAAATACGTCTTAACCGTAACCATCATATCGACGGCCGGTTTAATGGCTTTCAGTGGCTGTCTATCCATCTCTTCGTCTCTCATTTTGATGACTACTTTCCCGATGTGTTTACCGGTTGTCATGAATCGGAACGCCTTCTCGGCCTCCGAGGCATTAAATACCGTATAATTGATTGGTTTTACGCAACCATTCGAACAGTTCTTATGCATCCAATCGAAGTATTCTTGGATTAGGTCCGGGTTTTTAAGACACGCCAAGTCAAAGGACACACCAATAAACTGTATGTCCCTCAGGAAGTCAAACATACCGACCTTCCGGTTCTGAAACATATCATATTTTCCTATCTCTACAAACCGACCATTATTTGCCACACATTCATAGCTAGCATCGAGTTTGTCACCGGACAGGGAGTTAATCACGATATCGACTCCCTTTCCATTCGTCGCATCCATTATCTGATTCTTGAAGAGAATATCTCTTGAGTTGAATATCCGGTTCACAGGAATGTTATACTCCTTCACAAGGAATTGCTTTTTCTCTTCCGTCCCAACCGTCACATAGATATCGCACCCGTAATGGCGACAGATATTGATAGCCGCCTGACCCACACCTCCCGCCGCTGAATGAATTAATATACTCTCCCCTATAAGAAAAAATCATAATTAACATTGATAAAATTTATACTAAATAACTAACCTCGTTGTAAATTAGCCCGTTTAATTAACCCATAGTACAATGTAGCATACTGTATTGGCGTAGTAACCGCCTCAGCCATAGACCAATGTTGGGGAACTGTAGTTATATTTTTGATGTTAATATGGGTGGACGTGACAATGGATCGTCCCATTCTGAACCCCATAACCCTATCCCCATTATCTAATCGTCGCCCACATATTTCAAAACCTAACGTGCAATCTGGCACAATTTGTAACGCGGGAGCCGGGATACGACCTAGTTAATTGTACAAAAATGATTTATAATCATATAATATAGTTAGCAAGACTAAACTGTGATTATTAAAATATACCTGATGCTATTAAAACATCACGAAATGTTACGCCCGCGTAGTATATTTCGACTTTTGTTTTGACATGATTTTCGTGTTTGTCATCGAAATCGTGTTTAATTTTCGGCATATTTTTCAAGTCATACCATTGAAGTCCTGATATATCTTTTATTTGTCCGCAATTCAGAAAATAGTCATTTGATAGGCATTTGTCGTAATCCGTGGGAAGTCTTAAGTGTCGATAAGTTCCCACTTTTCCCTCTTTCACGACATTCGCCACCAAATCGTTGGCCAATATATCGCTATAAGGGCTGACATTGAAGTCTATATCCATTGGACTACCAGTGCTGTCGTAATTGAAAATATATCTCCAGTTCCCTCCTCCCGGTTCTAATCGCAAGCAATTCATGAGACCTATTATGCCATTAATGGACGAGTCGTTAGCTATAAGCCATACGTTATCCGTTTGATTGTCCGCATCGTTAGCGGCAATCAGTCTTTCCTGCAATACTCCAAACCATTGCTTATAATCTCTGTTAATATTAATGATATTGTTTTTATCGGGAATTTTTGGATAATCGGAAACATTTCTAAACAAATGGACAACAGATCCGATTGAGTCATGTTTGGCACCGATGTGACGGAATCCCACATTTTCTGCGATAAATATATATTGATTTATACGTGAATCCAATTCAGTGTTATTAAGAAACGGCTTTCCGTTCAATGAGTTCAACGCGATCTCCGGTTCCGTAAACTTATAGCGGAATACCGTTAATAGGAATCCGTTTGATTGGATCGAGTCATACAAGTCCTGCAGAAATGTCTGCAAATCTATTGGCCATAAGTCCGGTGTGTCTCTCATTACCACCAAATGTGACGGTTTTAGTGTTAGGCTTTCCTTTACATCCCATTCCACTGACTTGTCTCTAAGAAATTCTTTAACATTTTGTTTACTTTCAACGATTATATTATAGTCGACATCAAAGGGTTTAATACGGAATTGTGTTATAAATCTGTTCACGTCTTCAACCAATAGATTATGACTTAAATTAATTTCCGTTACTTTCAACTCATTTATTGTCACAAAGTTTTCGCAAACGATGTCAACAAGAGATCTAATCATTCGCTCATTCCTTGAGATCTGGTTTATTAAGTCGCGACTCATATCGTATACAGGATTTGAATGGATTTCATTAACTATTGTTTTAGTAATTTTTGGATTCATATTAATATTATTGACTTCTGACAGCATTTTATCGAAAATTCGAAACATAACGTGATTTTCATTGTTTGCATTTCTGTACTCTTCTATCACTTCATCGCTAATCGACTTACTATTGAAATCGCATTTCATTTCATTGAAACCCATTTGCTTTACTTTAAAAGCAATTGATTTGCACACCTACAATTTCATTAATAAGCATATCATTAAAACTTGTAACTTAATTAAAATAATAAAATTCTGCATAATTAACACAATTATCACCAACCTCAATATATTGCCTTAATATATCACGCTGATATTTCTCAATCGCATTTATATCATTGTTGCCACAAAACTCGTACGAATCGTGCGTCAAATTAATATCAGCCCTCCCACGGGGTATTACCGTCAACTTCATACCCTCCACCTCCACTCCCATCGCCACTAAATGTCCGGTTTTTGTGTCATAACGGAACGGTATGTCGGCTGACATCAGCGCAAAACGTTGAACATTACGATCGACACCAGATGGCGCTAATTGACGTTGATCATTACGATCGCCATGATTATTTTTATACTTGTTAACCGCCGCAAATAGGGCACCGGGATCCACGCGCACCCGGCGCACCATTGTTGGCACCTTAAGCGTACGCTCAGTGCCCCATAGGTCCTGTCCCTGGAGTAGGCCGTCCAGAAACGTGACAAAATTGCCGGTCCATTCACAAACACCGTGCACCATCAAAAAGTCATTGGTGCCAATTCGGCGCACGCGTCGAAATTCAGGTCCAAAATCTATGCCCCGGATTCGGATTAATTTGTAGATGTCGTCCCTGTCGAGTGTGTGGACGCAGTCGGTTAAATGAGCATCGTCGATTTTATGTTGCCCAATTAGGGCATCGTTATCAGGTTCAGGCGCTTTGATAGTACCAGCACACCGTATAATACCATTTTCCGTGACTACAAATTCGTCTAGATTTTGATAAAATGATGTTGATATAATTGATTAAATAAGTCTACAACCATACTTATAATATTAAAATTATTTTCATATTTGTCTTTCTTTCCTACATCACTCTGAGAAAACTTGAAAAAATAAAATACCTTGTTTCTTATCCGGATAAGGCATTTCGTACTTTTAATTATTCTATCACATAAATGAGTATTGGTAATTTTCATATATGTTACAAACCTGATTTCGGGAAATATTGAAGTTTTAGTTCAGTTTTAGAGGTTTCCGATAACATGGTAAATGATTTTAAGTGCACGTTCTCAAATATCACAGGACACTGCGACCATAATTTACCCTGACTAATAGCAAACATACGCCACGCTAACATTATGTATCCGGTAGCTGGAAATATAGGGTTACCATTCACGCGGTGATCAAAATAAAAAACATTTTCATCGACATTAGGGTCAATTACAAAATTCATATCGGACGCCGTAAATTTATTATAGTTGTCTGGATACAATTTGTTTTCATACGTGTAGCTATGATCCCATTTGATGAGTGACCCGATAGAGGGCGTACCCCTCGGCACCGGCCACTCGACTCGTGGGTAGAGTTTATCGATCGACAGATTGTAACCCAATTCGTAAAGTGTTGCCAATCCGGACAAAAACATATCCAGATTTGTATCGTTTGAGTCCTTTTTAATCAGCGATACGTAGGAACAGGAGTCCAGTGTTTCGGTCACGACTTTCTTGAACAGGGAGTGCGGACCCAACTCTAAGACTACGGCGTTTTGGGGTAATCCAACCAATTTGTCGTAAAATAGCACCTGGTTCAATAGGTTGTGCACAAAATATTCTGGTGATGCGTATTTCAATGCCTCAACATCCGGTCCCCCTATCAGTGCCGTTGAGACCCATTTCCCGGACCTGAGTCCCGGGTTTGGTATCAATTTGTTTCCGATGTCTATCATAGTCTGGGCGCTACTACTCATATACGGGGTATGGGAGGGGATTCCTCCGCTGTCTATTTGTCTCACAAATACTGCCTTTTCGTCCAGTATTTTAATTAAATCTTTCATTTCATTCATTGGACCTAAAGTTGTATAAAAAGTATATTTTATAAATTAAATTAACAATGTCAAATTAATTATAGTGACAATTACCAGCAACAACTACCGTATTCTTTGCATTATTACACGCAATGTAAACCCCTTTTGGACACAACTTCATGGCTTCAGCTTTAGAGAGACCCACGACTGCCATCAAACCCTTCGGTATTTTGGGGTCTTTTTCGACGACCCCTCGCGTACAGGATATGATGAGCGCCTCCCGTGTGGACAGACATCCGTCAGCGTAAGCGCAGGCGATCTCACCAAACGAGTGGCCAATTATGCCGTCGGGTGTGATGTCTATGGCTTTCATCACTTCAAACAAAGCTATTTCTATAGCAGTCGTCGAACAGAACTTTGCGGATATGGGTGTCAACAGAGACTTGTCGTCGGATAACAACAGACTTTTTAAATCAACACCAAATTCAGCCATAATTTGATGGCATTCCTCCACTTTATCACTGAATATCTTGATTGGCATCAAAGCCTTAGCCATTGCAGACCATTGTGCGCCCAAACCGGGGAACAGTAGCCAAAGAGGCCTTAATGTCTTGTCTTTCATAACTCCTATCCGTCTCTTATATTCATATTTAATTAATCCATTATTTTCTTCCTTTACTTCTTTTAATATCATTGAACCTTAAGTTTTTCAAATAAACGGCTATTATATTAATTATATTTTTAATATGATGTCATTTTACCTCTGTATGGGAACCCGGCTGAATTAACATTAGGCGAGTATTTCATGGTTTGGCCTAAAAGTGCCAAAAAATCATTTGTGATTTTCTTGGGATTGTTTTCAATGAAATCCATGATATGTTTGACTGATTGCTGAGTTCGGCCGCAAATGTTGACAATTCTGGGTATAGTTTGTGCTATTNTGACTGATTGCTGAGTTCGGCCGCAAATGTTGACAATTCTGGGTATAGTTTGTGCTATTCTTAAGCCATCACTGCTTAACAACTTATAGTTCGGCTCCAATACGAGCACCGCGTTTGAGCCGCCGATACCGAAATTATTGAGCACGGCCATTCCTGTAAATAGTTATTTAATGATTAATATCTCATTGTGAACCACCACCACCAGAAAATAGGTTACCTGGTTCATATTTATAATTCTCATTGATAGCCATAAGTGGCGGAAAGCAGTGTAGCATTTCTTGTTTAATATTTTTGAGATTCATATTGGCCGGTATGCATTCATTTTCGTACGATATAATCATTTTGACCAGGGACGCCACGCCTGAACCCGATTCCGCGTGACCCATATTGCTCTTAACGGCGCCCAATGGTAATGGCGTCACACGTCCCGGTGCCACACAATTGGCGTTGTATATTGCTATGATTTCCTCGGCGTCGCCTGCCTAATTTTTATATCAAGATACAATCCTGAAAGTAATTTTTAAAAATATTTTGCCCACGAAATACATGTAGCTAGTACACTATTTGTTTTTAATTTATAACTAATCTATTGAAATTATAAGATTATACTGTGTGAATTACATTGCAAGTATTAATATCAAATTTGTATTAATAGTAACTTACCTTGGTGCCTGTAGCGTGTGCCTCAAAATAGGTAATTTTCAAGGGATCAACATTTGCCTCCCTATACGTCATTGTCATCAGCTGTTGCTGAGCCTCACTGGACGGGTGAAAAGCGCCCGACTTTTTGTTGCCGTCGGCGCCCATTCGGGCGCCGACTATACGCGCGTAAACTCTGCGCGCCGTACGCGCCCTCTGTATGAATATGGCGCCCACCGTCTCGGACTTCACGTAACCGTCCGCCTCCTCGTCCAATACGTCGGACACACCTCTCGGCGAACATACGCCCGTCTCCTGAGACATTTGGTGCAGAAAGGGCTCAAACGACATGAATGTGCCGCACACGAGGGCACTGTCCGTATAGCCTAACAATATTTTGAAAACTTTATTATTTTTTAACATAGAAAAATATCTTTAAAATGCTAGAATATTAAACAGAAATGAGCTAGTATCTGCATAATTTTGAATTTTGAATTTAAATATATTACACCTATCTCTCTCTCTCTCCCTCTCCCTCCCTCTCCCTCCCTCTCTCTAATTCGTATCATTAATAGTAAAGAAAATATTACATTAATTTCTAAAATATATTATAACAATATGTGCTTGATCATTAACAATTACTGCGTGTGTCATATTAAAAGAAATTAGAAAATT